CAGTGTTACAGCCACACAAAATAACCCCGTTATAACCCACACGCACCCACGCAAGCATCTGGTCTCATAAAAACACAGCAACACACAGTTCACCCCAATATAACCCACACACAGTTCATCCCAATATAACCCACACACCCACACAAACATCTCATAAAACTGTTCCTACCACACCCCAATATAACCCACACACAATTCACCCCAATATAACCCACTCACATTCACCTTAATATAACTCACACACACAATCTGGTCTCATAAAACCAAGCCTTGCTGGTCTTCATTATTGACGTGGCAGATTTTGCTAAAAGTGGTGGAGGGGGAGGGGGGGGGGGCAGTTCCAAAATGGTTGGCTCATCGATAAATATAGAACAGGTCAGATTATCCCTCACTCTCAGTTTTCGTTCGTCATCCATGGTTTTTTTTAATTCACGTGATCTCCTCTTTTTGCCAAATTTTTTTATTTTTTTTTAAATAAATGATTGTGAACTTGTATTGATCTGAACTCTAAAAGCTAGACAGATACTCGGCCACGTCAGAAGAGACCAAACAGCGCCACCTAACGATTATTTTCATTTATTTTTTATACCATTTTTACCGCGTATGCACTCTATTAATATTTACTTTCGTCTTTGAAACTGAATAATTCACGATATAAAACCACAAACCTCCACTTGCGTATGATGGATGGTATTCTACATGTTAAGTCTAACGGCCGGTCGATTCACCTGACATGCTTTTGTTACCAGGCCAGGTTTCTCTTTCATCTTGTTAAATACGTCAGGTGGTGATTTATTCGGACCTTTAAAAAATGTTAGTGGCGTGTGTGTTGTTTGGGGGGTGTATGTGAGTGTAGGCTAGTGCTGTACGGACAGGCTACTTGCTGTGCGCCTATAAAGAAATCTCATGTACGGTGTTGTTTGTCTTTTGGTTTGCATTACATTTTAGCAGAGATAGAACTACTATTTGTATAGGAAATATTATTAAATATTGGTATCCTTTTAGAAAACTTGTTCCTCTGAAACATTTGTTGAGTAAAATAAATTTTAAAAATTTATAATCATTATTATTTTTCTAGAAATTAGTCGATTTTCACTTTGAGAAATCTTGAATTGTTTGATGAAAAATGTGGCTGTGAACCCTGTTTCATGCACGGAAAATGTTTATTTTTATGTGGTCACTGATTTTAGTAACTTTTAACAAAGCGGCATTGTTATATTCAGTTCGCCATACGCAATTTTTAAATTAACAAACGGCAGATGTTCAGTTACTAAATATTAAGCCAAGCAACTTGTTATTATTCGCGGAAAAGAAGAAAAAAAATATCGTGTGTATGAAAATACATAAAAGTGTATTCCTTAAAATAAACTTGTGTATGAATATACATAAAAGTGTATTCGTCCTGAGAACATTCGCTTCACAAAACACGACGGCATGCTGCGACAATCTTAAACACCATTGTACCACTCTCTGACACCCTGCTGAGTATTGCCACATCAGTGGTTAAAGTATATCTTCAACATTGCGTATCGTCTTTTGGTTTCTGTTGTTGGGGATTTAGGTTTAGTATGAATGTGTTACTGCTTGTTCCTAATACTGTTATGCGTATCGTTTTTTTTTTTTTTTTTTTTTGTTGGAGATTTAAGTTTTGAATGATTGTGTTACTGTTAGTCCCTAATAGTGTTATGTGTATCGTTTTTTTTTGTTTCTTTGGTTGAAGATTTAAGTTTTGAATGAATATCTAGTCCCTAATAGTGTTATGTGTATCGTTTCTTTTCTCTGTTAGAATCTTCCACTAACTCAAGACGTTTTGTCAATCTTGTTCTGTGGTCTGTCCTGTGTCCCCCCCCCCCCCCCACTTATACCACTTGCTGTCCTTGTGATACTGGCGTGTGGTCACTATCGATCGCCCGTGTCCGTGAAGCTGAGCCTGGGTGGGGCTGGGTAGAGGCCACCGATATTGAGTAACGGTCTGTTGCCGTGTCGGCCAGGGAAATTATTCTAAGTGTGACCGCTCGACGTGCAGGGCTATAATTAGCTTTTGCTGTCGTGGTGCTGGTACCAGATTGGTTCACTTTTATACCGTGGACAGTGGTTCACCCCGTCCAGTGGTTCACCCCGTCCAGTGGTTCACTGTGTCCAGTTAGCTGTTATATTGTGTATAGTGGTTCACCCCGTCCAGTGGTTCACTGTGTCTAGTAGTTCACCCCGTCCAGTGGTTCACTGTGTCTAGTGGTTCACTGTGTCCTGTGGTTCACTGTGTCCAGTGGTTCACTGTGTCCTGTGGTTCACCCCGTCCAGTGGTTCACTGTGTCCAGTTAGCTGTTATATTTTGTCCAGTGGCTCACTGTGTCCAGTGGTTCACTGTGTCCAGTGGTTCACCCCGTCCAGTGGTTCACTGTGTCCAGTTAGCTGTTATATTGTGTTCACTAGTTCACATTGATACTGTGTCCAGTGGTATGCCAACGACTTCAGTCCCCCGTGCAATTGTACACTCTTGCACCCTACGTTCAAGCGTACAGTTATATCCTACGTCCTATAAACACTCACATGTCATCCTAAATGGGTCAATTTACTCACCCCCCCCCCTCCCGCCGTCCATCTGGTTATTCTATTTTAGCCCCATATTGTGACTGTGGACATTTTGACAAATCTACAAATCCTCGATTTCTTCACTCTGTCTCTCAGATACCTAGATAAGTCACCTAGAAACAAAACAAAATGCTGACCCATCATTCAACCAACTGGAACCCAATTTACCATACAGAACTGTAACTTTTGCTGAAATTCAACCAAGCGTGATCGACGACGGTTGTGGAATCTTGTTGGCTTATTTTACATGGACTCCTTAACATCGAGCGTGCCTGTCGTAGAATTAATTAAACAAGACAGCATAGTCTCATTTACACGGTATTTAATTACACCCTATGCTGTTCAGCAGTTGGCCTACACATCAATAAAACTGTCTGTGTTTTATTAGCTTTAGATAACCCCAATCATTGACTGCAGCTTGCCAGTTTTTATACTTCATATCTAGTCTTGATGTGTGCTATTCAACTGACGTAAAATGTATTTAAAAAAAAAAGATTAGTGCTTGATATAGTAATATGACTCATGCACTATTTGCTTAAGCCGCGGAATACGTATCTCTTAAACAAATACAGCGTTTTAATCGTATAGCAGACTTACGTCATACAAGTCTATGAGTCATGGTATTTATCAATGGTGTGACCTTGATCTTGACCCCTGATTGTGGCACACGTCGAAGTTTTGTATCAGTGGCCTGTCTAGTCTGTCTCACGCACACACGGGCACGTGCTCTGTTCATGCCTGCACGTGTGTCATGTCTCTGATAGCACTGCATCCAGTTTGTAGAACAGCATTTGAAAAATGCAGGTGTATGTAATTTAATGAGTTATGCATGTCGCTGTCGGCGAAGTTTAGAATTACGATAACAAGCGGTATCAGCTGTCGTAGAAATGTGTATGACACATAGATGTTGATGTGACATATGATGGGGTGGGGTGAGATGTGAGGGGGGGGGGGGGGGGGGGGCTAGACATTTTTAACAATTTAGTGAAGAGTGACTTGAGAAATATTTTTACGTTTTTTTTTAAAGTTAGAAGCGTTTGGAGGGGAAGAGCCTCTAGACTAGAATATGCACCGTTTGAAAAGCTTTAATGGCGATGAGTTATATTTTCGACATTTAAACAATGACCTGTAAAATTGTTTCCTATTTCATGCGATTGCTGGTGTATCTCGATGTATTTGTACAGCTGGTGAAACAAGACATAACCTGTTAAGATGTTTACTTAGAATTATAAAAACACATCGTGTAGCTTTATTTCACACAGTTTGTTGTTTGTCACATGAAATCTGATTTAGGCCGATAATTGTTCTGCTCTCAGTAACAGGATTACAATCTATTCGTCTCGCTCCACTTAGGTTTAAATCCTGGTTTACATTGCTTTTATTGATCTAGCTGTGTGTTGTCTGACGGTATTCTTTCAAAATGCCATTTTGTATCGATTTTTAATTCAAAGTTTCATACTTGTATGTGAAAAGATAAATACAAATGGTAGCTGCAGTGAGGTTAATTCAATTAGTAATAAAACAGATAGTGTTAGTTACCTCACAAGTTAAAGACAGTTACAAATACTCTGGACGTTTCGACCACACTGTTGTGTGCTGACGAAGACCTTGGGTCGAAATGTCCATAGTCTTTGTAACCAGTAGCTTAGCGAGGGGGGCGGGACATATGTCCCCGTGCGCCGACCTTAGGGGGCGCCAAAATGGGTTGGAAAAATAAATTGAAAGGTTGAGGGGGGTGCAAATCGAAAGTTTGAGGGGGGAGGGGGGTGCAAATCGAAAGTTTGAGGGGGTGGGGTGCAAATCGAAATCTCGAGGGGGGGGGTGCAAATCGAAAAGTTTGTAACTGTTTGTAACTGTCTTTAACTTGTGAAGTAATAAAACACTATCTGTTTTATTACTTATACTTTTTTTGTGTTGGTTTATTCAACGTAATACCACCATTTTAAATAAGAAAACTTCAGTGCAACATTTTATTACGTACTCTGCAGTTTTTTTTGCCTACAATCCTGGCACATTGTGTGTCGCCAATATTTGCATTGAGTTAAGTCATGCACATGCAGAGAGGCGCCGCGGGACGTCAGGGTATACAGTAGAAAGCAAATAGGAGTAGATAGCACGGCGGCCGAGGCTTGCCAGATATACGCTCTATCATCTTTAACCCGTGATTTGCTTAAGCATTATGTGTACCTTTCAAATCCCTCTTCCACCTATTATCTGAATGTCCTGACGACCTTATTCTCCTACTGTTTAACTAGGCCCTCCTGTTTCTATATCTAACACACTGATTCCCCCCACCTCCCCACCCCTACCCCCCAGCGTCATCCCTCTCCTATTTAAACCCTCTTATACAAAACCTGTTTTTATACATTTTCTATTTTAAGATAACGAATTCCTCTTCTTATTTGCAGATGAAAGAGACGCCGTTCAGAAAAAGACGTTCACAAAATGGGTTAACAAACACCTTTTGAAGGTAGGTAGCGTGAAAGGTCCTACTGTATCCCCCCCTTCTACCAGAGCACCTACTAAGGGAAGTCACTCGGATACATGAATGATATCGCGTTTCTTTATAATTTAGTACCATAGGTACCCAAGTCATGTGCTCCCATGTGTACTGTAATACCCTCTATAAAATATACCGGGGCTGGCGCCAGTTGGCGTGTAATTGAACTTTAGTTTGTACGCTAAAAATAATACCACCGCTTCTCCCATAAACATACGTCCCCCGCCTAGACCCTTATTTACAATCAAGTGGATCGGATTTAGTCTTGTGGTAGATACTCCACAACACAACACAATTAGTAGTAGCGCTGAACTAGACCTTGAAACTGTCGAGGTCACTTATAATTAGACTGGGGTTACTATTCGGGGGAATACAACGGTTGGTCCCTCTGTTTTAGTCATTTGCGGAGCATATAACGGTTAACCCGAAAGTCTCGAATTCGAATCCGGGTTCAAGTCTGTAGAATGTCCCTAAGTCCACCCAGTTCTAATTGGTGCCTAACTCACGTTAGGGAAAGTAAAGGCGGCTAGATCTAGATCTGACCACACTATATCTTCACATGCTGAGGTCACAGAAACAGGTGAACTCTACTTCGCTTGCCACATGGGCCATCGGGTGCGAAAAGGGAAATTTACTTTCTCCCATAATTTCCCATAAACTCAGCGAGCTTTACACTCGATGACTTACACGAGAAGTCGTCTGTCATAAACCGCCAGTACCCACACAGGTGGAATCTTGTCACTGGTAACTTGTCACTAGTACACTTGTCACTAATTAATCACACTCGGCCCGGGACCGCCAGAGTTTGACAGTATGTGTGAAACTTGGCTTTAGATAGAGGAGTACCAAACACAAACAGGCGGCGAGGTTCGTTTTTAATGGGGAATTTCTTTAATACAGTCAAGTGAAAGTAACTAAACAGAGGGCTGGGGAGGGGGGGGGGGGTCTTTGTTTACTTACGCATAGGCTGGCATAAAATGTTGGTGCAATCTATTTAATCTCGGAATTTAGGTCACACGGAGTTATTTATTGATTCTAAAAGTGTGTGTTCTAAAATAAAATACAAAATGAGCATTGCATTTTTTTTACTTTCATTTGAATTGTAAGACGCAAATCTAAACTCAAATGTATTTGTTTTGTTAAAGATTTCTGAAGTAAATAGTGGGTTGGTTTCTGTGGGGGAAGTGAGAGGGAGGGCATACTCCTGCAGCATTTAAGAGAAGGGTAATACCTTAGTTGTTTCACTCAAACTTATGTTAAACATATATATTTAGCCGTGTGCTTAAATGTCTAGTTTTTGTTAAGTTTTCCTTACTGACCATAGTACTTGTGTCAAAATAAGTACTGGCTACCCTGTTTAGCCTTACTACTACCTCTATAGTACCGGTTTCACTGTCTAGCCTCACTGCCACCTCTATAGTACCGGCTTCCCTGTCTAGTCTACCACCTTCTATCTACAATTACCAGCTCCCTAGATCAACAGGAACAAGTTACAGTTAGAGCTAGTACGGTATATCTACATCTCCATTCGATGTTCGTTTTTTCACTCCTTCCTCCTCCGCTGATCCCCATAGGGAAGCTTTATTCGCCAGATGGGCGACACTGTCACGATTTCCCTCCTCTCGCTTTAACGCTATACCACAGAATTTAATTAAATCTGCCGAATTAGGTTGGGGGTGTAGGGGAGAAGGGGGGGGGGAGCTAGTGATTATTTAAGCTTGGTGTATAGTGGAATACAGTCAAAGTCACCTCCACGTTCCTTAGTGCTTTGTAAGGCTTTCCCTAATTAGAAAATAATAATCATTAAAAAAGTTTTAAAAAACCCACGTTTTCTGATTGAACTAAAAAGTAGAAAATAAATGCTATAGGCCCTACATCACAATAATGCAAGCGATCACTCTACTATAAGCGATCAAAAACGTGGGGCGCCGAAGTAAAAGTTATATTACTATTGATTAGATAATACTATTGACTTTTATTAGGGAGCTTGTAGAGAGTCAACAGTATTAGAAACTGTAAGAAAATCACGGCGCCCCACGTTTTTGCTCGCTTATAGTAGAGTGATCGCTTGCATTATTGTGATGTAGGGCCTATAGCATTTATTTTCTACTTTTTAGTTCAATCAGAAAACGTGGGTTTTTTAAAACTTTTTTAATGATTATTATTTTCTACTTTTTAGTCTTTGTCTGTTTGTTTGCATTAAAATCTTGCTATCGATTTTATCTTTTCACTTTTTTTGGGTAAACGAAGACAACTCGTAAAAAGACAACTCGTAAAAAGACAACTCGTAAAAAGACAACTCGTAAAAAGACAACTCGTAAAAAGACAACTCGTAAAAAACACGTTGTTTGAATACGTTACTGACTAGAACACATAGATTTGAACCCGTGTCGAGTGGGATAGCAATCGTGTGCCCAACCACTCGACCATATCGTCTCCCCCAAACTGGCCTACCTCCTGTAAGTTTAAACTCGGTTCAAGCTAAATTCTCTGCCCCTAAGCCTGTGGCGACATGTGATCGTTCGCTTCACTGCGCGCGAGGTACGCGTCGCTGGTTTTTTTTGTAATGGCTAGCAGAGGAGAATTATATATATAGATTATATAGCGGTCTAAAATGCTCAATAAAATGTTTCCATTGATCAATTTAGTAATAATAACAATTGAATATTCAATGGTCATCCAAAAGAAAGCTTCCCTGAAAATTTCAGCGCGCTAGCTAACTGGGAAGTGCCAGAAATTTCGATCGCAAGATTTGATTGGAAAGACAAACACACAAACAGAGAAAGCAAGTTAAAGAAAACGTGGGAAAATACATTCACGTAGTTCCTACGTTGTTTCACTATAAAAATTATAGTAGTCTGAACAAAAAAAAATATTTGTCGTATACAGTCATGTTAAAATAAAGAAAGGTATTTTATTCGTAGGCAATATACGTGATAACTTATGTAGAGAACTGAGCTTTAGTTTCTCTAGAGCAGGGGTCTCCAAACTACGGCCCGCGGGCCGGATGCGGCCCGCGAGGTCCTTTCATCCGGCCCGCGGAGATCTTTTTGTCCACGGAAAAAAACGTTTGTTGGTCATGGCTGAGGAACTTTGCCCAGAAAAATCAAAGACATGTCTGGAAGAAACTGGCCCCCGAACTGAAATTTGATAGTCAATGCGGCCCTCGGACTGAAAAGTTTGGAGACCCCTGCTCTAGAGGGTACCCTCCCACACCCCCCCCCCCCACACACACACACATACACCTTTCATCAACCCTATTTGCCTAAATCGTGTGTGTATTCTATTATTTTGTTCCTGCAAAAATTCATGCACCCTTTCTTTAAGTTATTGTATGTCGGGCCCAACATCCTTGAGTCAGCCATACAACAGCTGGTGGCATCCCCTGGATCACGTGACATCAAACACAAACGTGCTGGTTAACCCTTTAAATCCGGGAGCAGCACAAATCTGACACCCCAACAATAGGACAGCATTGTTCATTTTTTTTTAACTCTTTGTTTCTGCCTCCATTCACGCTCGTCCATTGTATGTAAATACCGCGCTCAAAACGTCCTCAATGTTGTTGCTTCACGTACTGTATCCGTGTGTATGTGATGTATGTGATATGTGTGCATGTGATGTGTTTGTATGTGATGTATGGTTTAGGTGAACTTTAAATTAAAAGACGCACACACCCTTACATGTGTATAAAAACATGCATTTTGAAACCACTAAGCTGACACCGACTGGTTTCAGATTTCTAACATCTAGCAAACAATCTCTGCATAGAGACGTTAAAGGATGTCCCTAAACATTGTCAGTTTTAAGTGTATAGGGGTGTGAAAATAGCTTATATTCACACAGAGTTGTTATATTCAGCTTTTATCCACATAGAGAAGTTAAAGCCAACTTTCATCCCTTTTATCCACATAGAGAAGTTAAAGCCAACTTTTATCCCTTTTATCCACATAGAGAAGTTAAAGCCAACTTTCATCCCTTTTATCCACATAGAGAAGTTAAAGCCAACTTTCATCCCTTTTATCCACATAGAGAAGTTAAAGCCAACTTTTATCCCTTTTATCCACATAGAGAAGTTAAAGCCAACTTTCATCCCTTTTATCCACATAGAGAAGTTAAAGCCAACTTTCATCCCTTTTATCCACATAGAGAAGTTAAAGCCAACTTTTATCCCTTTTATCCACATAGAGAAGTTAAAGCCAACTTTCATCCCTTTTATCCACATAGAGAAGTTAAAGCCAACTTTCATCCCTTTTATCCACATAGAGAAGTTCAAGCCAACTTTCATCCCTTTTATCCACATAGAGAAGTTTGTCAGCTTTTATCCTAGAGATGTTAAAGGATGAGATCCTTTGTCCCAATGATTTATCAGGTTGTATTGACCACCCGAGCAGAAAATGAGAGGAAATCAATTTTGGCTTTAGATTCCCTATCATGGGGAGAAAATTGGGTAGGGTAATGATTTTTTTTCTTGGCCCTATTATCATCATGTTCGGAAATTTGGTCTAGGTGCTACACCCTATAGTTGGGTCATGGTGTACTTTCGTGTGTACTTTTCGTTTTTACACGAGTTTCTCTGTGATTTTAAAAGGGTATTTGAGTATACACACACACACACACCAACAGAGTCACACATACACCAACAGACACACACACCAACAGACACACACACCAACTGACACACACACACCAACAGAGAGACACACCAACATAGACACACACACACCAACAGAGAGACACACCAACATAGACACACACACACACCAACAGAGAGACACACACACCAACAGACACACACACACAACAACAGAGAGACACACCAACATAGACACACACACACACCAACAGAGACACACACACACCAACAGATAGACACACACACCAACAGAAACACACAGCATCCAGAACTATACACCAATGGCTTATTTTACTTGTGAGACGACTGTATTTTAAAGAAGTGGTAACTTGAC